CTAAACTAAACTTCCTTTTTTTCGTACCTGTGGAACAAGAAAATATTTCCATCAGAAAACCAGTTTTTTTAATCTTATTTGTGCACTACATCATTATGTAGAAAAAAATCATTCAAAAGTACTTATCTGGCTTCATATATTAGGTGTATTATGTTAATGAATTTGACGATACATCAGATTGAAATATGCTGTTATTCAAATTTTGCTGCTTTTTGCCGGTGGAACGATAGTATGCTCCGTTCATGGAGACTAGTTTTATTTGCTAAAAAAAACCTTATGAATCAAGTGCGCCGTAAAATTCACATTTGAGACGACCCCGTGCATTTTACCTGTCAAAGTCGGTGTCAACAGTCGATACTGAGACTTTCCGTAAATCTCTAATAATTCATTCATGCAGCAATTACCACCTATTATCAAGAAAACCAAACATGTGGTATTCGTCAACTAACACACTTATAATTGTAGTGACAAATTTATTTGAAAATTTTGTATATTCTAAGTGGCGTGGCTAATAAGCTGATTTTCAATCCATCATCATTTTGTTTCTATTAAAAATATTGAAATTCTTGATATGTTTGTTATATTGGTCGCTTCAGTCATCTAGGGACACGAATTCGACCCTGCTGACGAGATGTGCACTTAAATTTCTACAGTCGAACTCTTCCTGGTTTCAAATGTTATTTTTAATTATAAATTGATTTACGTGGTAAAACCTTTAGAAATGTTACATACATGTATCTTTTATTTCACTTGACTTGTTGCGAGACCTACTGATTTTGGTCTTGTGTAATAAAGTAACAATCCCTCATGTGATTTTTAAGAATAAAAGCTTTACAAAGTATGTTACAGTTTTAATTATTTTTTGTTTATCTTCATAATCGTTTAAACTAATCTTTTTATGAATATGTTTATTTCTTAAGGAATATATATAACGGATCTTAACTATGACCATGAAAGTGTTATATTTCATTTTACTTCCATGACAAAGTATTAAGTAATCACGGGGTATTTTCCGTAATAGCTAACTTAGACAAACCAGAAACGCGTCAAAGCTAAATTAAACTCTGAAAGTGTTCAAATGATAACAGAAGTGTGAAAAATTAATAATATATACACGCATCACTCCCTATAGAGAACAATCTTAATTGCTTGAATCACATAAATCAATATTGGTATCCCGGGGTCGTAGGTCAATGTAGAAGTAGTTAAAAAGTTACTCCGTAAGTATTTTAGCATTCAACATTTACCTATTAATGAAAATCGAAAAAATAATGCATTTTGTTATATAGATACAATGGATAAGCGAGGATTCTTGAAAAAGAAACGATGATCCCGGAGGGCGAATGGTTTGTTTTTCATGAATTTACGCTTATCCATTGTATCTATAACTTAAACTATTGTGTTAATTTCTTTTCAAAATTAAAGCCTTTTCTTAATTAGAAGGTATTGTAAGTGAGTTTAAATAACCATGTTATCGTGTCCAACGATGCATTGATAAATCTCAGATCACAATCAATTGGTTAATAAAATACATATATAACATTTCTACCTTTACAGATCTTTATATTATCAGGCATCTGAATATTATCTTATTTTACAAAATTAGACATATTCGAACTTATTTCTAATAAAATTGAGAATGGAAATGGGGAATGTGTCAAAGAGACAACAACCCGACCAAAGAGCATATATAAAGTATATATAATAAGTATGTTACCGAAATTTCTAGCACTCTAGGCACATCAGGATTTTGTCGCATAGGAATTTGCGAACAAACATTTGTAAAATTATGTAGTAAAACAGATGAAATCATACTATATTTTTATACAACAAAATTGACAAATAGAATGTAATCATTTTTGTTTCAAACATGTGAAATAGCCAATAATAATCCAAAAAATAAACGGTAAAACTCGCTATTATTACAAAAATATCCAGTATAACATGAAAATTAGAAAGAAAAAAAACAGAATTGGGACAACAGAGATAATACAGGGATTCGAACCTAAACCGACAAATCCCTATCTTTTAACTCGTTGATTTTAAGCATGCTGACCTCGCGGCTACCAACTTATATTATACGACTGTCCACTGTGTATATATAAAGGTACAACCCCTGTGTGTCCGATGTTTATTTATATATATAAAATAGACATCTAAGTTGTAACCCATTGGTAGCCGAGAGGTTTCGTCGATGAGTTGATGTCAGTCATTCATAACAGATTTCTCGGAAGGGTTCGATTCCCAGTGAAGGCATATACAAATAAGAAAGATTAAAGGTAAGTTTTTAAATTAATTCCATTAGTGAACAGAAATCAGTAAATTAGCCAATTCAAACTTAATGAAATTAGACACACAAAGGAAACAATTGAAAATAATTTGGTGAGTCCATTTCAGCGGCAGATTTAGGAAGCGTTGATTCTAGAAAAAGAATCCACGGTAAATGAATAGGCTGACGTCACCACAATGGTTTAATTACTTTTATTTTCTGAATTATTACTGACTGAATTCTTTTATAAGTGAAAATTTGTATAGAAAGCACATTAAATCGACAAAAAACGTTCATAAATTTGTTTTAAATTCATCAAATCTTCAATTTCAAATCAATAAACTTTTCTTAAAAATATATAAATGTTGATACATTAATTTTCGTGTTACTGATATAAAATATTAATAGGGTTACCAGCTTCGTTTTACGGTATTCATCATTCAAAGTGGCGTTCTAGTTGAAAAAAATACTACAGAACCTCGAAACAAGCGGAACGTCATCACGTTATATGACGTTAAACGTCGATTTTTGACGTTTTTTACTATGAACGATGTAGCAGAATGTCTAATTATACACCAATAACGAAGACGATGAATATTTCATATTATTAAAACGGAAATTTATGTTTAAACAACAACATATATAATTTTTTTCAGAAAAAAAGGATGGATTAAAATATAAAATTTGAACGTTTTTCGTGCATTCTTTATATAAAATGTTTAACTATTTTGAAAGAATTCAATCAGTTATATTTCAGAAAATAAAAGAGATAAATGCATTATTTTTCGATCTTCAGTTATAGTTCTACTAGTCAAAGTTGGATACAAAATTTTATCAAAATCTGTGACATGGCCAATTTACTGTTCCTTGGCCTTAAGGATAGAGAAAAATGTTAATGTCGATATTATGTACTTATATTTTGTCATTGCACAAGGTCTTGCTTTTCTCAGACTGTTCGTGACTTTTCACCAAATCCGTTGGATGTGTCTTGATTGACATTTTAGCATGGGAGAACAAGATTTATTCATTAGTTTTATTGGCTTTAAACTAGCTTTCAGTAACTACGAGTACTTTGAGATCAGGACTTTGTGTCTTATAGTACTTTTTTGTGCTTCGTGCTGATCTGGATGCCAGACATAGGGATAAAATACCGGCTGAGGCGGCGACGTCGTAAACCATTTGTACAAAGCTTTATATTTCAGAAGGTGGAAGACCTGGATGCTTCATACCTTGTATGCAGATACCTTATGTTACGAAGTTGTTTTCGTCTGTCATAATTATGTCAATTGTCGCTGAACTCATAGTCATGGTTCAGTGACTGATTGAAAAAAAAACAGTTTTTAGTCATGTGAAATACTCAACTATTTTGAGTAATATGATAACTGTATTTGGTATATGGGTTCCTTGCAAGGTAAACATATCTGTCAGACAGGGGGCCTCGGTGGCCGATTGGTCTAAGTAGTTCAACTACTGTATCAATAGCCTGTCAACGCTGAAGTTGTGAGTTCGAACCCCGTACGTGGCAGGTGAGCTCAAATACAATCTTAAGGGCATCCGATACAGTTTCAAGGGAGTAAATTCTTGGTGCGACGTAAAACGTTCGAATTCCCCCAAAAACGTCATTTTTATAGGGACGTAATGTAATAAAAAAAAAATGCTTTAAAGATATTTCAATATAAACGATGTCACAATTTATGTTATCACACAAGTAAACTTCATGCATTAAATTTAGTGCTTTTGCAATGAGAAGTCCATGATGCAAAACTAGAAATTGTATGAACATTGGAAGTACACACTTTGCACAAGGTCGGTGGTTCTCTCCGGGAACTGCGGCTTCCTCCACCGATAAAAAATGACCGTATATTAGATACTATAAGTTATAGGTCAACTATATTTGGTGTTAATATCCGACTCTCAGGTTTCGTCTTACCATGACCTTATTTTCATGGTTCATTGGACGATGTTAACATTTTGTGGTTTGGCCTATTTCTCAGATACTGTAAGCAATAGGGCCACTACATTTTGTGTTTGAATGATTGTAAGGTGTACATGTCTGTCTGGGAGGTTTCTTATTACATTGACCTCATTTATTGGTTAATGTTAATTTTTCGTGTTTTTGTTAGTTTATCAGATATTATAAGCGATAGTGTATTATATTTGGTGTATGGAATGATTGTAAGGTGTTCCTGTATGTCGGACATGGATCATATGACATTGACCTTATTTTCATGGTTCTTTAGTCAATGTTAAAATTTTGTGGTTTGATCTGTTTCTCAAGTACTATAAGTGACAGGACGACTGTATTTGGTGTATGGAATGATTGTAAGGTGTACCTGTCTGTCTGGCTTCTGCTGTTGTCTGTTCTATGGTCGGGTTGTTGTCTCTTTGACACATTCCCCATTTCCATTCTCAATTTTATCGTTCATCTTAAATTTTTCCAAGTGAACAGTTTTTCTATACCCAGAGTTAAATTTTTAGTGCTCGTCCGTTCATCAATTTATCCGTCCGTCTGAAAAAAAAACCCATAGAGAGTACAAAGATTGTGTCATGCAAAGCTCCAACTTTATTCAAATTTAATTAAACTGTGAACAGTAACTGCAATCATCAAAAATAATTATTGAAATAAACGAGTGTCAATATATCTAGTATAAATTATAAAACTTACTTTTTTGCTTTTATATTCAAATATTTTGTACTCTAGAACCATTTTTGTATTAGACAATTTGTTTCCATACAGGTTGCTATTATGGCGTTTGCTTTTTTACTCATAGTATTAATCTATGTGAACGTTCCTATGTCAACAGAAAATGACAATAGACCGGGATTTTCTACAGGTATGTGTGACAATTTTATAATCAAAGTGAATGATTTTTTTTCCCATTTCGGCTATTCAAACTTCGGATCACTAAAAGGGTGTAATATTCTTTTTTCTGAATTTATATATGTATAAACCGGACCAGTCACTGTCATACCAAGGAGGTTATATGACCTCCTTGGTCATACTAATAAACAGGTTTAAAGTTCAAAGGACTTTAATGTTACAATAACTCTGTTATCTGCTGGTCAAGTTTACACAACCATGCATTCAGAAAAAAGTTAAATCCTTTACATTTCAATTTATACAGATATACAAATATTTGTATTTGATATAATTCTATATTTAAGTTTCTTACCTTGACAATTTAAGTCAGAGTTTTGCAATTGTTGGAGACACACTTTATCATCCTTACAAACAAAATTAAGAGTTTAAAGTTTTCACTTCTATTATCTATTGTTTTTTTGTTCCTGTAAACAATGAATTAATGCTTCAGATTTCTGATACATGGTAAAACTTACTATTTGATTAGAAATATCTTTAATGTATCCTTAACTTACGTTCTTTATAATAATTAATTTAATTTAATTAAATAATTTTTTCCATAGTATGTGTTACTCTATCAACCTACCATTTTCCATCCTCTTTGAGATATTAGATGTCTGGTTTAAACGTAAGACGTTCTCGTGTTTATCGGCTTCAAACATTTATTTAAAGTGCTTTTTGTGTGCGTGTTTTTTTTAAAGACAGTACAAAATGACCAACAGCAATAATACAGATGATTGATTGTACCATTTGCATTATAAATATTCATTAATGTCCTTCGATTTATAAAACTTTTCAGTGCCTTACATGTCTAAACCGTCAGTGAATTGTCTTAACCTAGAAGAAGCAGGTATGTTGTCTAACCAATATCTATTATCTATTGGTTTTTCTTCCTGTAAACAATTGATTAATGCTAACAAACCCAATAACATATAAAAATGCATGACGTCTTAACCCTAATGATGTGTATGCTGAGCCTGACTCAGCTAGCTTAACCAGGTGACTGTATCGCAATCTCGGCAAATATATAAAGAACACAACTTGTTTCGAAAATTGTAATTATAATATTCCACCAGAAAGGTTTACAAGTAGTCAGTAGATTGTTTGTGGTAAACTGCAATAAAACAAAAAGAAATACTTACAATGTGTATGAAAGAACATATTAAAGTTCATATGCAAATATTTAAAACAATGAAATGAAAACGAAAGTAGAATTTACAGTTCCAATCTCGGTTATAAATAACTTACAGTTCGTATGCATTTAATAAATCACTTATCCAAATTAACGGACTTAAACAGATTAAATTATCACAGTTTATAAATGAATAAAACGTACTTGACAGTGATATGTCTCGATTTCCTCAGAAAATTAAATGTCGTCCATGTTACATGTGTTGTTGAAATATTGAAGCAGACGGTGTCACAGAAATTAAAGGCAGTCAATACGTACGGTGATGTAAGAAATCGGTCCAGTGCGATTTGTTCCGGATGATTATGAAAACATATAGTAAACATTGAATGTGAAACAGAATACTCCCCGTCTGATGTCTAACTGATATCACTATTCCAAAAACTATATACAATCGTTCTCTATGAGAAGAGTCATGTCCACGATTGGGCGTGTGCAGATGGTGGCTTTTCCATTTACGATGATTCGTACTTCTGCTTTCCGGACATGTTCGTCGGAACTCTTAAATGAATTTACTATAACGCCTATGGGCCATTGAGTACGGCAAAGGTTTTTGTCCTTTAGGAGAATGACGTCTCCTTTGATGAGATCACGGCGATCGTCGGTCCATTTTCGTCGGGGTTGTAGTAACGGCAGGTACTCTTTCCTCCAACGGGACCAGAAAACACTGGCAAGAGCCTGTACACGTCTCCATTCGGCTAGACATAGATCCTGTCTGTCGAATTCTCCAAGCTGATCTGAAGTGAAGATGTAATCGGTCTTTTGTGTCAATAACATAGCTGGCGTTAAGATTAACGGATTCTCTGGATCTGTCGATACCGGTACCAGAGGTCTAGAGTTCACTATTGCTGAAACTTCTGCCATTAGTGTGTTGAGCACGTCGTGCGTTAGGCTTCTTCCTGCTGCGTTTAGAAGCATAGAATCAAGAATTCTCCTTGCGATACTAATCATTCTTTCCCAGGCTCCACCCATGTGGGACGAATGTGGCGGATTGAAGATCCAAGTTGTACCAGAATTGTACAGAAAGTTCTTGAAGGGTCCATCTTCGACGTTGATTGAGTCAATCTTTAAATCGTCGATTGCGCCAATAAAGTTTGTTCCACGGTCAGATCGGAAAATCTTAACTTGACCTCTTATAGCAGCGAATCTTCTGACGGCATTTATGAAGGCTGAAGAGCTCATTTCCTCGATTAGTTCGATATGAACAGCTCTTGTCACTAAGCATGTGAAAAGAATTGCCCAACGTTTTGAGTTGGCGTATCCACCACGTGTTTTACGTGAAACAATTGTCCAGGGTCCAAAGGTGTCTATTCCAACGTTAGTAAACGGAGGTGACGGTGCAAGACGGTCCTCTGGCAAAACAGACATGATTTGATACTCAGTTTTTCCTCTGAGTTTGCGGCATGTCACACATTTCTGAGTAATAGAAGAGATCAAGCGTTTTGCTCCGACGATCCAGAATCCTGCGGATCGAATCGCTCCATCTGTGAAGTGGCGACCTTGATGTTTTATCTTGTCATGGTAGTGTCGGACTAATAATGTCGCTATATGATGGCGTCCAGGGACGATCAATGGTTTCTTTTCACGGAGGTTTAAGTCAGATTTGACAATACGGCCTCCTACTCGTAATAGTCCTCTTTCGTCCAGAAACGGATTGAGGTTAGCTATCGGGCTCCGCTTATGAATTTGTTCCTGACGTTTTATGCAATCTATTTCATCTCCGTAAACTTCATGTTGTGCAGATATTAAGATGAAATTTTCAGCATTCGAAAAACTTTCCAGAGAAGTTACTGGTGCTGCCTGTTTTGACCCGTGTAAACGGGAGAAACGTTCCAAAAAGGCTATCGCTCGCACAAATGATGTCCAGTTGGAGAAACGGTTGAATCTATCAGTTCCGATACCTTTATGCTCAGATGTGGCAGATGTTTTTGCAACGTTAACATTTGCACGGATTTCTCCATCTTCCTCTGGGTCTATTAGCTGATATATGTCCTCAGAATTCTTCTGTTCTGATGAAAGAAGTTGTCTTGGTCCTGATAACCATTCACTGCTATGAATTTCGTGGGCTGGTACGGACCTTGTTCCCGAATCTGCGGGATTACGGTTGGTTGGTACAAAATTCCATTGACTTGGAGAGCTAAATTTCCTTATTTTCTCTACTCTATTGGCGACGTAGATAAAGAACCTTCTTGTCTCGTTACTGATGTAACCTAAGACCACTTTACTGTCTGTATAGAATTTCACGGTGTCTATGTGTAAATCTAAATTATCCACGATGGTTTGTGTGATCTCAACTGCTAGTACGGCAGCAGATAGTTCAAGTCGAGGAATAGTATGACCACTTGTAGGTGCAACTTTTGCTTTCCCAAGAATGAACCCCATGTTAGGTTCACCACTACTGTTGGTCGTGCGTAGATATGCAACAGCAGCTGCTGTTTTTGGTGTTCAGCAAGGATCTCCTCTGAGACGCCTAGTTTTTGGTATGCAACAGGGATCTCTTCTGAAACGCCCTGTTTTCCTATGCCAGTTATTGTTCCCAGATCTGGGAATACATTAACTTCCGGTGACTTAGCGTGTGTAGGCAACACCGCAGGTGTCTGTGATGGCAGGTTCAATGCCACGGAGGGCACGAAGTCTGGCGCTTCATGACTTAGCTCATACTTAACAGACGTTTGTTTTTTCTGTTGAGGGGCTGTCGCTTCCTGTATGGCGGTTGGTTCAGGATGTTTATTAACAAAGTCTTGCACACGTTGGAGCGGGTCTTCCGTCTCTTTAGGGAGATCGTCTAGCGCTTGGCTGTCATCGTACTCTAGGATACGAGCCTCGGCTTCTGCGGCTGCAGCTTCTTTCTGTGCTTCTAGAAGGTTTAACTTGGCTTTCAGCTCGGTTTTTTCCCGGCTGACACGTGCGGCCTCCTGTTTAATTTGTGCTTTCCTGCGTATGGCCTCTTGCTCTGCTTCATGCTCCATTTCAGTTTGTCTGAACAGGGCTTGTTCCTCTAACATTGCCTCCTGTTGTAGGATAAGTGCATGTTGTTCGACAAAGGCTATTTTTGATTTAGCGGCCTCTGCTTTGGCACGCTTCCTCCGTGCTAGGCTTGACATGTCAAACACGTTAGATCTACCACTATGTGAGGTTTTCTTACTTTTTGAGGTCTTTGTTTTAATAGATTTAGCCTTTGTCAGGTCGAGCCGATGTTCGTGCAATGTTTCTAGGGCATGGTCCACTTTGGACAGACGAATATCCAATGTGAGATTGCATGCGTCTAGGTCTTTTTGACTGTCCAATGTTCTGGTCCTTTTCAGAAAGTCCAGATACTCATCTGTGAGCCTACGATAATTTGTGCAGGCTTTAACAATGTTATCCTGGGCTGTCAAGATTTGCTGGATCTTGTTAGGAGGCGTGGTGACTTCTGATAACTGGGACTCTACATCTGACCAGAGGGCCTCTAGTTCCTGACAGAACTTGTCACGTTTTTCTGTGAAAGCTCCTTTACCTTTTTCCGTGAGGTCTCGTACTCGCCTCGTCTCGGGATTTTCATCTAAATGTGTGGTATTAGACGGATTCTCTATAAGTTCTTCAGGGACATCTCCCTCTGGGGGTTGAACCTCTTCTTGCTGTTCCGCTTGACTGGGATCCATGATGGCTCAACGTTTTGTTTGCTGCCAAAACACAAGCTGTGTTGCGTAGTGTCAAGGTAACAGCTACGAACGATGCTCCGTTGTATTTCCTGATCAGGAGATGTGTAGACAAGTTGTTGTCAATTTACTATGCTGAGCCTGACTCAGCTAGCTTAACCAGGTGACTGTATCGCAATCTCGGCAAATATATAAAGAACACAACTTGTTTCGAAAATTGTAATTATAATATTCCACCAGAAAGGTTTACAAGTAGTCAGTAGATTGTTTGTGGTAAACTGCAATAAAACAAAAAGAAATACTTACAATGTGTATGAAAGAACATATTAAAGTTCATATGCAAATATTTAAAACAATGAAATGAAAACGAAAGTAGAATTTACAGTTCCAATCTCGGTTATAAATAACTTACAGTTCGTATGCATTTAATAAATCACTTATCCAAATTAACGGACTTAAACAGATTAAATTATCACAGTTTATAAATGAATAAAACGTACTTGACAGTGATATGTCTCGATTTCCTCAGAAAATTAAATGTCGTCCATGTTACATGTGTTGTTGAAATATTGAAGCAGACGGTGTCACAGAAATTAAAGGCAGTCAATACGTACGGTGATGTAAGAAATCGGTCCAGTGCGATTTGTTCCGGATGATTATGAAAACATATAGTAAACATTGAATGTGAAACAGAATAATGTGAACTGAATGATATTTTATTCTTAGATACATGAAAGTTTATTAGTTGTTATTGGCGTTGAACTAGCTTTAAGTAACTTCGAGTACTCTCAGATCTGTACTATGTGTCTTTATTGTTTTTGTTAGTTGTTTTTTGTGCTTTATACCGTTCTGAAATGTTTAACATCCGACACATTCTGCCATGGTATGTGCCTGTCCCAAGTCAGGAGCCTGTAATTCAGTGGTTGTCGTGTGTTGCTGTATATCATACTTATTTTTAGTTTATTGTTTTGTACATACATTTTGCCGTTAGTTTTCCCGTTTGAATTGTTTTACAATTGTCATTTGGAGACCTTTTATAGCTGACTATGCGGTATGGTTTTGCTCATTGTTGAAGGACGTTCTGTGACCTATAGTTGATTACTTTTACGTTATTTGGTCTCTGGAAGAGAGTTGTTTCATTGGCAATCATACCACATCTTCTTATTTTTATATAGTATAGGCCTCTTACCAGAATAAAAGTTTAATCGTTTTATTGTGATCGAATGCTGATGTCTTGTCTTCACTAAATATAAGTATTCTCATGAATTCTTACAAAACCAGTCAACTATTTTAACACATAGAAGTAAACATATCTAATTATTTACATTTTGTTGTCATGAAATGGATACCTGTCCACTGCTGTCTGTATCAAATTTGTGATTAATGATAAAACCTGTAAAAAAAGGCCCCGAAATGACAAATGTAAAACAATTCAAACGAGAAAACTAACAGCTTATTTTATATACAAAACAAAAGGAAAAGAAATTTGATATACAGCGACAAACGACAACCACTAAATTACAGGTTCCTGACTTAGGATATACACATATAAAATGTTCTGCTTAGAAAAACAATTTTAGTTGTAAGAGGACATAATAATAGACTCCAATAATATTCATTTGCTCTCTGGTGTAAATTTGTATCAATATATTTTTTTTCAATGATTCAGGGGTTACGGTCAAGGTTACAAATACCAAAAACTGTAATAAATTATGAAAATTAAGGTGGTACCTAACACTTCAGGGAGATAACTCTGTAAAAATCAACTAAACGTTTTAATCACGTTGTACTGTTATGGAAATATTAAGCTTCTCAATGATCAAAATTAGTGTTTGTCAAACTGCTATATAACCAGTGAAATTTTTCTGATAAAGTGGTTGGTTCAAATTATTTGAAATTTTTATATTTTGTCAAAGGGTCAAAGTAAACATTTTGTCAAAATTTTAGGAAAATTAAACGAGCCAAATTAATATTAGTCAAGGTGTTGGGTACCACCTTAAGCCCAAACTGACGTTCCGGACGCACGAAATTGATAACGTGTTATTTACATTTACAACATATGTTATGCATGAGTTAGGGGTTATATCTTCGTAATTTATGATGTTTTATGAAAACAATAGACTCATTTGTTTAACAAGTTATATAACAACTATTTCTATGTAATATCAAAAGTTTTTTGAACAGATTAAAAATAGGTCAAATAAAAGGGACAATTTTAATCGTTCCTGAACCTACTCCTTTGCGGTAGCCTATTTTTTTAGCGGGATTTGAGCCCATGCTTATATCATATAAGAAAGACAGGAAGACCAAATATTTTGCAATTTATTGAAATAATGTACTCTAAAAAACATGCGAAATCTTACCATTTCAAATATAGTTTTATATACAATGTCATTATAAAAATAAGGAGATGTGGTATGATTGCCAATGAGACAACTATCCACTAAAGTTCAAATGAAGTGGATGTAAGCAATTATAAGCAATCGTTATACCTTCAATAATGAGAAAAACTCATACCGTATAGTCGGCTTTAAAAGGCCCCGACATGAAAAATGTGTAACAGTTCAAATGAGAAAACTAACGGCCTAATTTTTAACAAAAATATTTTCGTTTGTATGGATATTAATATATAAAAATGTTTATCTTAACAGAGAAATTTACTATGAAATCAGATCCACTGAAAGAAAGATGTGAGCCAGGTAAGTGCAGATACTACTGGTAGTGAGGGTAAAGAAATGGCAATATCAATGAACGTCTACAACATAAATCTCTCAATGCCATATAATTGGACTTAAATGTCTTACAAAAATGAATCATGCCTATTTGTCATTTACCCGTTTCATCTTCTTTGACTTTATTTTGTAATTGATGGCCTTGTAAAGATAATTATATTGTTACCTATATGTATAGTTTGATATATATTTTCTTATGCGTCTCATTTTTACTTTAATAATGCAGAAAGCACATAAAGACACACTCTGTCCTGAACGATCTCATTGTACACACTAAGGAAAACGGTATCAGTAAGATTTAATGGCGATGTTCACTTCGATAAAGATTAAAAGTAGTATAAACATACTGCTATTAGTTGACATACTGAACTATTAGTTCGGTCACGAAAAACAACTCGTACTTAAAAAAAGGGAGGTAACTCAATTTTTTTATAAAGGGAAACGAGCTTATCAGTTTTCCGAAAAGCATGTTGAGTTTTTCAAACCAACTTGTGCACATGAATAATTAAACATCGGATCACAACGGGATGCCTCTAAACTACTCTAGAGTACGGTTTCTGAATGTTTGATGATCGATGTCCACACTTGTTTCCAATTGTATAATTTTATTTGGTTTTAATAGAAAACAGAGTTTAGAATCAAACCAGGATTATTTCGGTTTATATATGATAATTTCAATTAGTTTTTATTATACGAGATGCGTATTCATTGTGTGTAATTTAATTCTTTCTTATCTTTGAACATTATTCTAAAGATGCAAATTCTATATTAATATATATATATTTAAGTATTTGATTTTATAATACAAAACAAAAAAGAGAAAAGAACAAAACAATTCTGCTCATCTGAAATAATGAATTTTGCCATGTCTGGTTGAATGTCTCTATATATATATATCTTGATTCTCATTCAGACAAAGCATTTCATCGGTACAGCGAAAAATTCTAAACACATTGACTATTTTAACTGTTAACGAATTTGAGGAAATGTTTGTTTCTATTTTCATCTTTGAACTGCAAGATGGCGAAATGCATCATTTAAATCTATTAAATTTTGCAAACTTGTTTAAAATAGAGAATAATTTAAAAACAAAATCAATTTAACTTTTTCAATACATGTGGTATACATAACTTTTTCAATACATGTGGTATACATAACTTTTGCCACTACGAATACATAAACAAGTATTATGTAATCAAATTTTGTTGGATATCTTTTTCAAGTTTATTATCTTTTATATGTAAAGATGATAAGGTAAAAATAAGTAAACAGAATTAACAACGTTATGTTATGGTTTTGATAACGATGATGTCCTTGCTGACTTTATGACCATCATACGTATACTTACATTCCTTAGTTGAGAAGACACATTAAACCAATCAATTGTATGTTGTGTTATAACTTTAGATATTAATAAAGGTAAATACAGAAAAGCGCCTTAGACGCATCAAATTTATTAAGTGATATTGTCAATTTTATACACGAATCCCAAAGTTTTTCAGTTGGAAAAGTTTATTTTTTCTAATTTCGTTCTACATTAGCAGAAAAGTACAAGTTGATTCGAAAGACTTGTGTCATGACTAAGCAACTACAGAGATTGTTTAAACATTTTTTTTGGAAGGCTAAATTCCTTTGTAGAAGTTAAGTGGAAGTTATAACTTTAAACTTGTTTTCGCGTGTGTTTCAATATCTCAACATCTCGGGTAACCTTTCCCGTTTACGATCCAGGTAGTACCACCGTGTCCTATTACTATTTTCTTGATTTAGGACAGTATATCCACATTCTCTGATAACCAATAGCTCGTGGTCTTTATTCAATGTCTTTTCAATTCAATTCTTTTTCTAACCTTCAGCGCATCCATCGCACAGTCTTTGAAAGATTGTTTAAGCGTGATGGACCAGTTAAGTGTTGTCATTGATTTATTCAATCCGTTATCCACTGAATTGATACAAGCTTCCCATGAAGGGTTGAAACATAAAAAAGGATGAACGGTTTTAGTGTGCCTTGAAATACAAATGAGAAAATTTTTACACTCTACTGCAAAGTTTTCGGCATCTAGAGGTGCAAAGGGTAAATTTTATATGCGATCTATGATTGACGGATTTGCTTGACGTCGAGTGACAAATATTTCATGCGTATTCAGAACGAGAACAAATTTACAATGATAAGTTGAACAACCAGGACAAACAAAATAAAGGACAGAACTTTCGAATGCAACTCGAAAATGATTTTCTTTTGCCATCAAACCCCTGAAAGAGTTGTTGCAAGGGTTTGCTAACGTTTGGAGATTTGGGACATTTCATTTCGATCGGACGTGGCTGCGTTTTTATACATTCAGCACAATCAAGCGGATACCCATTTACTGCCATGAAGATGGAAGAAGTCCATAGATTACCATATGTTATACTCCATTGCTTGGAATAACTTATATACTGGATATGATAAACTAACTAGCCCCACATTGGCACAAAATTCTTGTCCATGCAAAATCTTGATTTGTAGAAATTTTATAAAACAATGATAGAATTTTCCAATGTACTTTAAATCAATAGCTTTAAACATTTAAATGTAACTAGCTTGGTTAAAATAAAGGAACATGTCGGCGAGAAGAGGATCGTAATTATTTCTGATGGGATTGCATACGTCAACCTGACATAACAAAAATTTTGTCAATAATAATAAAAAAAAACATCATGTCAGTTTCACAGTTCCAACTTTTTCATTTTTTTAAATATTATTTGTCCGTTTCAAAAGCAAGATATTTGTTTCTACGATGGTTACTTTAATAAAAATTGACTAATAAGTCTACTCTGCCTTTAAGTTAATAATGAGAAATACGTGTGTAAAGGGTAGAAAAGTCAATTTTTACTCCATAAAGTAGCGATGTAATAACACATGTTCATTTTATCTCACTTTGTCCATAATTTTTCTTTGACAAAATTAAGCGAGTCACTTGTCTCACTGCCTAAATGGAAGCTATGCAGCATGATATTGCAGAAAGTATAGTTGATTTTAAAAGGAGATCCCCATTGTTTATTATCAAAACCAATCTTATTATCACTGTTTAAATATTGAAGTTCTGGACATGATTTCTTTATTGTTTGTTATATTGGTCTCTTCCATCAACGAGGCAAACGAATTCGGCCCTGTTGACAAGTTCTCCACTTCAATTTGTTTAGTCTCTTCCTGGTTTCAAATGTTATTATTAATTATAAATTGGTTTTCAGGGTAAAACCTTTTAAAAAGTTATATTCATGTATCTTTTATTTGACACAGAAGATGTAAACCTCCATGCTGCGAGAGATATTGATTTTGTCGTTGTGATTTGATTTGATTTTTGGTGTTTTAACGCCACTTTTAAACACCGCTTTTGGGCTATTTCGTGGCGGCCAGTTTTTATTGGTAGAGGAAGCCGGAGCGCCCGGAGAAAACCACCGACCTTCGATAGGAAAACTGACAATCCTAGTCAATTAAGATTGGAGTCGAGAGCACCCGCACGAGCGGGGTTCGAACTCACAACCTCAGTGTTGACTGGCTAGTGATTACAGTAGTAACTACTTAGACCACTCGGCCACCGAGGCCCCTTTTTTGTCGTTGTGTAATAACGTAACAATCCATTATGTGATTTTTAAGAATTAAAGCTTTTCCAAATATGTTACAGTTTCAAGTATGTTTTATTCATTTTCATATTCATTTTAATTAATCATTTTATAATTATGATTATTTCTAAAGGATTATATATGTAACGGATCTCAACTATGACAAAGTATTGAGTAAATACGGGGTATTTCCGAAAATAGCTAACTTAGCCAAATCAAACACTCGTCAAAGATAAAAACTCTGAAAGTGTTCAACTTCAAATGATAAGAAAAGTGTGAAAAAATAATAATATCGACACGCATCACTCCCTGTAGAAAATAATCTTAGCTACATGATCACACAAATCAATATTGGTATCCCGGGTTGTGTTACCAGTAAGTTAATGCAGTAGTAGTTAAAAAGACGATTCGTAATTTTTTTTTTTTAAAACATATTTAAACTTTATTATAGTATTGGGAAGTTTATGTATTTTTTCTAGGGAAGATATTATTGTAAGTTAGCTTTCGGTTAAGGAAAAAATATGAAAGGATAATTATTGAAATTCTAATAATAAAAAAAAATCATGTCATTTTTTCGGTTAAAAATATAACTGGTGCGATCAAACAACCTAATCCCATTGGTGTTTATGGTCACGATATCTGTATGAAGATGAAGCTTATTTTTCTTAATGTCCTTAATCCGAGGGATTTTAATTTCCACACGCATCCTCTACAATAACACCAGTCTAGTGTGTATTGTGTCAAAGGTTTTCTTCGAAGCTTTCAGCAAATTTATTTTTGGCATAATAATGCAAAATATATTAAGTAATAAAATTGAGAATGGAAATGGGGAATACGTCAAAGAGACAACAACCCGACCAAAGAGCAGATAACAGCCGAAGGACACCAATTGGTCTTCAACGCAGAGAGAAAATCCCGCACCCGGAGGTGGTCTTCAGCTGGCCCCTAAATAAAATTGTGTACTGGTTCAGTGAAAATGGACGTCACACATACAAAGGAACTAAAATTAAAAAAACATACAAGACTAACAAAGGCCAGAGGCTCCTGAATTGTTTTTTTTTTTTGTTGGAAGTTCACTTTTCATCATAATGATTCTTTGGTATACTTTATCCTCTATCATGATTGAAAAGGGGAAAACACAAAAAAAAAAAAACAATATACCTTGTGTAATGCAGGTATTGCCACTTTAATGTACATGTAGAGTAAACATGTGTATATTTACAATTATATTGTATTTCAAAGTCTTAAAGGGTTTAATCATACTAATTCATAAAAATATAAGTTGTTGCCGATGACTTCGCATCCAAGCGTGTAAAATTCTCTTTTCAATGATAAATTAAACAATTTTCAATTTTCAACCATAAAAAGACGGAAGAATTACAAAAGTTAATTTTAGGCAAAAATATAATTTCATATCCCTGTCTTTGGAGATTATCAAAATATCGACTCCAAAATAAGAAAATCACGAATACTATTTTTTATTTGAACAAACAGATGTCAGGGGTTCGCAAAACAAAGCCTTCTCTATATACATTAAACGGGCTACTTCAATATTCATGGTAGCAAATTTTGAATCAAAAGTAACGGATGTTCAAAATATTTCATAACATTTACATCATTATACAGTTAAAACCTCCAATAAACTTTATTTAACAACGCGCAGAAGAAATTCAAAAGTAATATAAAGTAATACGGGGATAAAAAACTATTTTCCCATATAAATCTATAGTAAAATTAATCGGTGTCTATGGACAAATACCAGCGCTTGTGCATTAAAGACCGAACGAATTCTTGGACATGGTGTTTAGTGATAGAATACCACACCAAAAGAAAAAATATAGTAAATAGTTTATGTTTCACAAGTACTCTGTAACTTTATAATGTAATTTCTGTACTTTTATACCAGATAACAAACTTGATTGATTCTAGTACTTTCCTCTGACATTACAAAAACTCTGAATTGTTCCAAGTAGGTACAAACTTTTTGATAAGATCTCATTTGGATATTCAATTTCATATTTCACTTGACCCCATTTGGCAAAATCGAAAAAATGATGCATTATCAATTTTATAAATAGAACTTATGAAACTTACAAAGTCAATGTAAAATATGAAAATTTCAAACAGCTTGCTGTTGTTGATTCATAAATTTTTGCCCCCTCTCACAAAATTTAAAACTGCAATATCTCTAAAGCGACAACAGATACCTCAAATCAGTTAAATGTATAATGGTCTGAATAGGAAATAGGAAGTATAAAGTATAAGTAAAATTGGGGTTATTCCATAGCTCGTTAAAGGCACAATGAATAATTAATTATACGATGTAATACCGAATTTGAGAACCGGAAGTCGTAGAGACACGAGAGAACCACCACTCATCTCATGACCGCTAGACCTTTCAAAAGGTCACAAGGTCAAGGTAATTGTACCAAAATGGAAGGTCTTAAAATACTGACCATTTTTGCAGTTTATAGTATGTTGATATATGTTACCATTTCAATGATATACACAAAAAACTATACTTTAAATTATCTCGTAACTTTTGAACGGATGGTCGAACAGAATAGGAGCTTTGTATAAAATGCAGAGCTCATCGATAGGAACATTTCATACTATGTGTGTATGCAGCTATCTCGTATCGTTTTCTAAATATTCAAGCTTGAAATTTAAGCGTAAAAACGTTTTGCACTCTATGACCTTTGACCTTGGGGGCAAATAAAAGGTCATATTAACTAAGGATTATTGGCGAAGGTCCCGTATCTCTACGACTTCCGGTTCTCGAAATATAATTTTTCAAAAATTTTGTTCAATATTTCAAGGGAAATAACTCTAATACAGGTTGATAACAAAATAATTGTTTATGTTTATTAACATTGCCATCTGTTTCTGTACATGTTACCATTATTAGATCGATCCTATCTGTAACATTTTTTTAGAAATTGGTTCAAGGGGATATAACTCTAAAAGGGGATTATGTGGTAATTCTTCATGACGAGATCTACCTATTGTCCAAATAAGGTCATGATATCTTTAAAAACAACGAGGGGAAGGAGGGGGTCCAAATTTGATCATGATAACTTCAATAGAAACGGGGAGAGGCCATATAAAAAAAATGTTGGAAGAAAAAAAAAGAAAAAAAAAACCAGTGAGGTCTTTCCTCACGTAGGTGAACGCGTTTAAAAAAAGAAAACCACATTAGAAAAACATTTAGGTCTTTCCTCAAGTAGGAGAAAGACTTTTATTACGAGGTTAGTACATCATATAATCAAAAGTATCAAAATATCACACTGGAGAAGTAGCATAATTATCTTAATAATCAAATTTCTATAATCTCTTAAACTCTCTTTTCAGGATCTGAATTTGTGAGGAATTATTGCCGAGCCAATGACTGTAAGTAGATAAACAATAAACTGCTGTAAGAAAATTCATTTCTCTGCATGTCCGTTTGCAATCTCTCTCTCTCTTGCTGACAAAATGACTAATTTTTCATACTTGGTCGAATAGTATTTATAAATTAAAATATATCATTTAATACCATATAAAGTCATGAAAGTGTTGAATATCTGATTGGGTACAGATAAAAATTCTGACTGAAAGTGGAGAAATATTGTATTAGGAATGTGATATAAAGTAAGTCTGGTTGGATATTGTGTTATGTCTTATCGTTTATGGTATAAATTCTGTATTTTCTATACATTTCACATATATCTTATTTGTCGGTATAGTCGAGTTACTCGTGGTTCGTCTACAGTGTTTTTGTTTCATGTTGTTTATTTTCAAGTGTGTTTACTGTTTGTTCTTACATCATCATGCCTTATATTACAATTATTTTAATTTAATTTTATATGTGTATGTTAAAGTTAAGATAATAAATCAGATATTTCATTTATATGATTTTAAGTTTAAAGCTATTATATGCACAGTATTTTTTGTTTATAGATATAGGAAGATGTGGAATGAGTGCCAATGAGACAACTCTCCATCCAAGTTACAATTTATAAAAGTAAACCAGTATAGGTCAAGGTACGGCCTTCAACACGGAGCATACTTGGTCGAATAGTGTTTATAAATTAAAACATATCATTTAATACCTTATAAAGTCATGAAAGTGTTGAATATCTGATTGGGTACAGATAAAAATTCTGACTGAAAGTGGGGAAATATTGTATTAGGAATGTGATTTAAAGTAAGTCTGGTTGGATATTGTGTTATGTCTTATCGTTTATGGTATAAATTCTGTATTTTCTATACATTTCACATTTGTCTTATTTGTCGGTATAGTCGAGTTACTCGTGGTTCGTCTAAAAATAACAGTGTTTTTGTTTCATGTTGTTTGTTTTCAAGTGAGTTTACTGTTTGTTCTTACATCATCATGCCTTATATTACAATTATTTTAATTTTATTTTCTATGTGTATGTAAAAGTTAATATAATAAATCAGATATTTCATTTATATGATTTTAAGTTTAAAGCTACTATATGCACAGTATTTTTTGTTTATAGATATAGGAAGATGTGGAATGAGTGCCAATGAGACAACTCTCCATCCAAGTTACAATTTATAAAAGTAAACCATTATAGGTCAAGGTACGGCCTTCAACACGGAGCATAGGCTCACACCGAACAGCAAGCTATAAAGGGCCCCAAAAAAAATTACTAGTGTAAAACCATTCAAACGGAAAAACCAACGGTCTAATCTATATAAAAACGAGAAATGAGAAACACGTATGAACTACATAAACAGACGACAACTACTGTAATCAGATTCCTGACTTAGAACAGGTGCAAACATTTGCAGCGGGATTAAACGTTTTAATGGTACCAAACTTTCCCCTTTTTCTGAAACAATAGTATAACATCACAACATAGAAAAACACACTATAAAATATTAATTGGAAGGCTTAACTCAATCAAAAAACGTAAATTAACACACAGTGATCGAATAAATTTGACCTGTGACACCTGAATGCAAATACACAGTTAATAAAAAATTACAAGGGATAAATAATTAAAGTCAAAAGTAAATAAACAGGTTTAAACAAAGTTAAAGTATGATATCACTGTGAAATTTCAAACAAATTTTAGAAAATCATCATTTTGGAGAAACCTGCGTCATATTATACACAGGTAAATGAAAATAATTTTGTTGTTAAGTATACTTCTTTTTCTGTGTGTATAAAATCTTCCGTTTAGGAATACCAAAAAATTTCTTTAATATCAATAAAATTAATGTAACACTTGGTACATATGGGATGAATATCAACAATAAACATATACAATTAGTGCTAGATAGAACTTCCTGTACATGTCCAAGAACAGCATCTAAGGAAAAATGAAATAATTTAGATGTTCATAGTACGAAGAAGTGAAAATTTGTAGTAAATTAAATACCAAATAATCAAAGCTGGTATATAGACAAGATCCATGTTAACATTAAATAACAAAAAAGCATTACAAATAGTATCAACAGGTCAAATTAAAAAGAAAGTACGATTTGAGAGTACTCGCAGTTACTGACAGCTAGTCAAAAGCCAAAACAATTAATAATAAAAAATCATGCATCAGAGACTAAAATCAACTAAAATACATCCCAGGGATTTAGTATTTTAACGTCATGAACAGTCAAAGAAGACATGACTTGTGCAATGCAAAATATAAATGTATCGACAGGTAGTAGGATAGTTAGGAGTGACTTCTTTATAGATAAAAATGAACGTGTGTGTGTCTCTATACATCCCGTTTGAAAAGAAAATACAAATTTAGTTCTGTTTGAATTTGCTAATGACAAAATCGATATTAGTGCCAATGTAAACTATATTCAGAGATCTAATTACAACATTGGTAGAATAACCCTTACTAATAAGTTTGTTTAAAGGTTCGATGAGTTTACACGGATCACATAATGATTTCCGCGCTTTAAGTACAATATTACCATAAAATTTAGGATGTGAAATACCATTTCTAATAAGTTTTCTACAGGTACAGCCAAATTTATGTTAGATTTCCAGTAAGTGTATCTAGCATACTTTCCTTTTTCGTCACAGAAAAAGGCTTTAAACGAGTTACAACAAATAAATTTACAATGAGACTTTTCGAAAGACCATTTTATTAAATATGAAATTTTTTTCTTTATTAGATTGTGTGGAAGTGTAGTGTAGAGAGTAGAAAAATCATAACTGTCAACAGAAGCAAAAGGACCACCAAAAGCATGTATTTTATCTAAAACCTCTAAAGAATTTTTAACACCCCAAAAATAATTAAAATCATTATTTTCATAAGTTTTATTACAAAAGTTAATAACCAGTTCTTTGATAGTAGTAAGGGAGGTAGTAAGAAGCACTGATATATTAGTAGTAGAACACTTACTAGATGCGGAGATGAAATGGAATTTAAATGATTTTTTGTGTAATTTCGGTAACCAGTACATGGTAGGGAGTTTCAAATGTTCGGAAGAGGCTTTAAGCTGGGTAGTGGCAGTGATATGCTTGTTAACGATTTGACTTTCAGTGGTGCGTACGGACCTGAATGTAGAGGAATTGATAATTTCGTTTTGAAGAACTTCCGTGTAGTATATGCGTCATACCACCACTACATTATTGGCTGCCTTGTCTGCCGGTACGAACACAAACCGCTCTGCGAGTACTTGGAGTTTATTTTTTATTCTAGAAATGGGAATATCATGGACCCTATTATTAATTTCAGAATTGTTTTCAAAATGAGATATTCGAATATTAACAGTATTCATAATTTTATTCAAATAACTGTCTAGAGATTTTTTATCAGATTTTTCACGTTTGCACCAAATTTTACAGTAGGCAGACAGAGCGTCTTTAATGACCTGACGACACTGTTTCCAATCTATTATAGATGGAGGACGGTATTTCGGTCCTTTCTTTAGAAAAGTTTTGACCTCACGGTCTTCGACGATGTTGAGGTCTCCTGTAATAACATGACCATAGGGAACATATCTAAAACTACATAATTCACAGTCTCAAGTGGAAGGAACATTATTTTCTATATTGACGTCTGATGTAACTGACGTATAATTAAAAATCAAACTTCTGCTCGGTTTTTTATAAGAATACGAAATAATGGGTGGTTCTATATTATCAAAATGTGGAGGTATTTGGCTATAGAGTCATTGAATATGCTAGATAAGTTAATAAAATCAATACCTATATTTATATATTTCAATTTAAGAAAACGTCGTTTATGATTTTCAGGTTTATCTATACTAGGAAACAGCCTGTGATGACAAAAGGCTGTAATAATACGGGTGTATTCATAAAATGGGCTAAAAAAAGAAATTTTATCACACTCCAGAAAAATAGCATATAATTTACTTATTGGTATCTGACCCAGTTTGCATAATACTTGATGTCTGCCATTATTTTTTATTATAGATAACAGATCAGCAAGTGTATAATTCACACGATTTTTAATACGTTGATTACGGTATTTGCGTTTACCAGGAGACCTACTATTTCTAAGTCGTTTATCAACAATATTAATGACATCGATAGAAGTTTTAGATATGTTCCCCTGTCCTAATATTTTGTCGTTGAGACCGAGAGGATAAGCTGTTTGAAGTCTTTTCATCCAAAATAATTCGCGAACTTCACGTGATTTTTCAAGTTGCTTGTGTAATTCTCCTGGTTGTTTCTGAACGGTTTCGAGGGGTTGGAATTTTATAAATTTAAGATTGTGATTATGCTTATCTAAATGTTGATATACCAAACTTTTGAATTTTTTGGGTATATACAGTTTGGATTTATAAGAAAAACCAACATGGTTAGAAAATACAAATGATAACATCATTACAAACTCTATTCCATTTTAATATTCTTGTCATGGTGAGAACATACATAAAATAACACCATTACAAACACAATACCAATTTTATATTCTTGTACGTGTCTTCAATAAAACAAATCTATTCTATTTTCAAAATTAACCTGTGATAATACAAACGTCACAAAAATACGTCACTTTTTTGAGGCGTTGATACATTCGTATGACGCGCAGTTTATACTTCGTTTGTGGTGAACTGGTGTACTGTGGTAAAATCATGGAGGTGTCCGTTGTTATTCTGTGGTTTTCATGTTGTAATGTACTATTATATTTTTTATTTATGTATTTCTCTGTTCTGGGTGTTCTTGCGTTTATTTCTCCTGTATTCCTGTCACGTAATGTTGTCATTTTAGCGGTATTTATAGGTAACCGTACAGCCTTCAACAATGAGAAAAACCCTTACCGTATAGTCGGCTTTAAAAGGCCCTTATATGAATAATGTGAAACAATACAATTGAGAAAACTAACGGCCTAATGTATGACAAAACAAATTATGAAAAACAAATAGGACATGAACTAACGAAAACAACT